TGTAGTTGCTATTGTTGTGTTTATGTTTTTATCCTGTTTTATGAGTTGTCTGTGAAGAGTTTTTTGGAAGTCTTTACAAAGGATTTTTATGGTTCAACAGGAAGGGGGAAATATGGGAACTGAATGGACTGGGATGGATAGTGGCTTGTGCAGAAGATATAAACCTGAGACCATGGGAGGCAGGATACTGAAAGGATGGAAATTAGGATGCTAATGGGATCATTCCATAATAGGTCATGTTTCTGGTTCTGATACTCAGTTGGTTTAGGACCTGTCACATATAAAGTCATGTCCCTGGTCTGCATTCACAATTGGACCCCTGCCCTCAATCATCCCTGTATATTGTTAAGTTTGACGTGACCCTTGGTCTTTGAAGCTTGTTCCCGGAACATGCGGTTTCTGCAATTTGTTATTTTACCATCATTACCATCGGGCAACTCCAGTGTTCCCATCCCTCTATTTTGCCATGCTTGCCTGGCCAGCCTGGACTTGGAGTCACAGCAAGCTGACTATGACAAATGCAAGAAGTTAATATTTCTGTATACTGCTTAGCAGATGTTCCTTGGCTATGTCTTCCACTATACAAGTTATTGACATATGAAATGGCTGGTCACTTGACATGCAATTTGGAGATAGGATGTGGAATGTGCCATGCTGGGAAACCATCAAAGGTACTGCTCCAGCAATCTCAATTTTGTGACCATGCAGAATGGCTGATTCACTTGTCTGGGGAAGAGCAGATAACAAAGAAAGATCGGGATGCAATACAGCTGATCTAAAATTTTTTTCATGATGTCATCAAAGCTATTGATTGTTCATATATTACCTAAGTGATCTCAAAGATATTTTCACAGAAAGAAGAGAGCATTATGCTCTCCTACAGGTAGGAAAATCCAGGTTCAGTAAACTAAAAACTGAAAGGTCCAGCACACTACTATTTATGTAGTAGGCTATAGTCAGAGCTAAGAACAGTACCCAGCTTCTAGTGCTAATGTATATAGAACTATGATTTTGGTGAAGAATTATAAATAGACCCAGACTTGCATTAATTGGATTGAAGTTTGATTAACTTCAGCCCAATTTAATTATTGATTCTCATAGAGCACTTGACCCATTAGAATCTGAAAACTGGTTGCACTGCTGGGAAATACATTCTCTACACTCATTTGTGTAAATGGGACTCCTGTAATATCAGGCTGTGAGTGCTGAATATGTTCAGCCATTCACAGGATTTAAAACTAGTCCTAAATAATTTGATGAGGAAAATTATTTATCAATCTCCCTTTTGGAGGCTCCCTTCTAAGGCACACACTTGTTTTTCAATATAAAAAAATTCTATTGTTCTCCTTTAAGCAGTGAATTGCAAGAAAAAAGATTTTACTGGGCACTTCAATAAACCACTTTGAGCTTCTTAGTTATGCAGACATGCAGAGAATGAGTAACAAATGCTCCTTGAAGGATCAGGACAATTACTGGTGAATGGTATTATATGCACAGACTGCTGCTCTGTCTTGGTAGCACACATACAAAGCAACTCTTAGAACATATTAAACTTATATTATTAGGGTCATATACATTTCTAAATACAACTATTATCTCCTAAGAATCAACATCTGTATTTCAGGTTCTGCACCTCTCAAAATGTAGCATTTCAAAGACAAATGCTTTAGCAACCATGGTAACCCTATGTGAGAAAATGCAATTTTACTGAATTTTCTGCATTAATGTTTCTTAAAGAACATTAAACATGAAATATGCATTTCCCTCAAGGGATTGAAATCTGAGAATTCCTTTTTTGAGAAATACATTCATTTCTATACAAATGTTACAGAAGAATACAGAAAGGCTAACAGTTTATCCTTGAGATTAATGAGCAAAAGACCTCTTCACTTTCCTAAATGAAAGCAAATGTTTCTCTGTGCCATAAATCACAAATATACAAGAAATGAGATTAATTTTGTAATAAAATATGCATAGTTTGGATGAAATGTATAAAAGAGAAACATTCTAAGACAAAGACAGTGCTTTTATTGCAGTGAGTGACTTAGCTGCGCAAAACAAGGGCAGCAGTAATTTGTGTTGCTACCAACTTTCACAGCTTTTCTTACCTTCTCATTGTGCTGCACAATAAAAAGTGCATACAAGTAGTTTCCATGGTAATTCCTGTATCACATGATAGTCATAAACTGTTGCAGAGATACAGAGCATTTTCATAAAGAAGCATGCACAGATGCACACAGATAACAGATAGTAATTTTCAGATAAAGGTCCTTGTACAATACATCTTTAATTTGATTGGGTGTGAAAATGTTAGCAGAGGAAAAAGTCATGTCAAGGCTTCTCAAGCTGAAACAATTAAACAGCTTAGTAACAGTGAAAATACATTTTCATGTAACATAAGAGTTCAGTGGGCAGAAATTATTAATTAGGTTCTAAAACTTTTGGATAGAAATCTTTTTCTTTAGCAGTGCAAAGAGTATTGCACATACCTTGAAAATAAATATAACAAAAACTGACAATTAGTTCCTTTGTAAAATAGGCCTGAAAGCACTTGACAGACATGGTAAGAAGGATCTGCATGTGTTAAATTAAACTCATTCAGTCACAGAGAAAACAGCAGAATTAATCTGATTTTGAAATTCTGGATTTTTTTTAAATATGGAAGTAATAACTTTTATTAGATAATGTGTTTTAGTCTTCAGTCACAACCTAAACACCCATGTCTGAAGAAAATACCCCAATTATTCAAACAAAATACAGGATTTCAACCCTAGGGGTATGCCCTTGCTTCACCATCTGAGAACAGAGCTCTTGTTTTCAAAACAGCTTGTCTTCACCTGTGAAGCATCCTTTTATCAGACTCTCTCTAAAATTTTCATTTGGGTTGATCTGAGACAATGCTTAGTGTGTGACCAGGGAAGGACATGAAAGGACAGACAAAACAAAAAAATGCTTCATTAAAAGATTTGCTTACATAAGCAAATTGCATAGGAATAGCGAGAAGATGAAGGAGGCCACATTTCCTATTTCCTACATTTCACTAATACAATTCCTGTTTCACTGTTTCACTAATACTGAGCTTTTGCATGGCTGACCACAAGTATAGCAGCAAAGTCCACTTGGCAACCTCTTGCTGTTCTCTACAAAGAGCCAAGGCTGATATTCTTTTTCAAGCAAAGGTTGGGAGAGAAAAATAAAGCAGCTCTAATTAGGGATAGAAATTAACAGTATTATATTCTGTGTATAAACAGTTGTGCAAGAAATGGAGAATTTCAGCTTCTACCAGCATCTGAAGACAAGGAGGGTCATAAGCACTTCACAAATGCTTTTTCCAGTATTTGAAACATTTTTTGGCATGTTTTCTTTGTCTGTTTTCCATATCAGAGCAGGCCCCATTTCTCCTGTTCATCACCGTAAGGTACTCAGAGTTATGAAACTGAGTCTCAAGAAAATGTTAAATACATTGAAAAAGAAAGAGGAAAAAAAATATTACAAAGTTGTCAACAAGTTCTCCTATGGGTCACATTCTCACAGGTTTGGCAAGTTCTTGTGTTTCATCCACTAAAAACATGCTACCATCTCAGCTGCTTCTGCTGCTGCCATTGCTGCTCTGGTGTGTGTCACCAGGGTATTGTCCATAAAGAGAATTCTTCCCAAAGTACTGCGTAGCGTCACTGCCAGTTTGCAATATGAAAAAACAGTTCTGCTCTTGAAAAACACCACTGGAGGTTTGCCCCTTTCTTTCTTTACCATTAAGCAGATTGTGAAAAAATTGGAATATAATGACTTTGATGAAGAAAATACAAACTACTTATTATTGCAATGAGATGTTCAAGGATAGTTTTGAGGATATTAGGTTATATAAGTTGATCAGAAACCTGAGAGTATAAAAAAAGATGAGGTCCTACATTAAGAACTGCAACACAGACCTCTTGACAAAAAGGAAATGCCACTGGTCTGTCAGATATAATCAGTACTTCATTCTAGCTCTTCATATGATAGAGAGACACAACTTACAAGTGTAAAAATTATAGCTATGAGTAAACATTAAGCTAGGGGTGGAAGGGACAAAAAAAATTACAGAAGGCATGTCAGTGAGTTTAAAATACTTTTTGTTTTGTGTTTTGATTCTGTATGTTGGCAGCAACAGGTTTACACCTAGTACAAAATGAAATCTTAAAAGAATGGAAAAAGAAATATCAGTCAGACCACTACAGAGATATATCTTGGAATCTCTACTAAAATTCTAAAAACTAAAAATAGCATAAGAAGATTTTCAAGTGAGCCACAGTGAACATTGAGGTACTAAAGACTGTAGGGAGAAAGTAGTTAAATATTTATGTTAAAAATGAGTGTAAATGGGATCCTCCATTCATCACTTCCTGATGTTTAGGAATATAATCTATCACTGTAGAAATATGAAATTCTGTCTTACCTCAATATCATTCAGCAATAACACAAATCTGAGAAGTGTCTGAAACTCAAAACAGTGTAAGGTAAGGACTAAAGTATAAACTCATTTATATTAATAAAAGTTAGAAAACCAGTTGTCCAACTATCTGATGAACAATATCCTAGAACAACTTTCTGTATGGTTGCTGAGGGGAAGATGAAGCTTGATCATGTAATGAAAGTGTGTATGCGATGTGTTTGAGTAGCACCAGAGTACATATTTGGATCCACAAATTTATCTCTAGGCCTTGCAACATGTGAGATTACTTCTAAAAGGAAGATGATACCTTTGGGAAATATTATTAGTGCAGGTCTCTTAGCATCACATCCACACCATGAGGTTATTATTATTTTCTTTAGTAAACTGGATTCTGTTATAGAATTACAGTATTTGGTTTTCTTTTACAGTGAATTTCTAAGGCAGAATTGCTAAGAATTAATCTTCAGACTGAATAGGGCTTGCTCCAAATGTTTTTCACCAAGTAATTATTAAAACTGGGTCTGCTAGTGCTTTGGAAGCAACATATATGTCTCTATTTGCATTTCAGGTCTACGCTGAGTATGGTAACACCAGGCAGCTTTCCATAATTGCAGATTGAGACTGGCAGGTACAACATCATCTGTTTTCTTTTTTGCTCATGTTTTCTGGTTGTGAAAAAAAATGTTTTAATCTCTAAATAACCAAATGCATCTTCTGACTTGCAAGAATATGAAAAAAGTCTGTGATGATCAACATGAATCAATTGACCCACACATATTTCAACAAGTGCATGGGTGTACACGAGAAAGTTTTACTGCTGTCAACTTTTAGGCTACAAAATTATCAGGTAACAAAATTATGTCATTTATTTCACAGAATTTTCAGTAACAAGCTCTGCTGGACAAAAACTAAAGAATTATACGAGATTTGAAGACTGAAACTGAATGCCATAGAAGTATGTAGGTTTCTTGTGTGTTCTTGTGCACGTTCTGAAGGTCACTGAAGTGTGATGCAAGAAATCTACCCTTTAACTTCTGTATAAGGATATTTTTTCTCAGTTTGTTCATCTTTACTGATGAAGCAGTTCCATATGCAAGGAAGGAACACAGAGGACAAGAACTGCTGTCCTTGTCAGACCACATCTTACTGCTTTGACTCAAACAATGAAGAAAAATGAGCTCCTATGAAAGAGTAGGAAAGAAGGCAGGAATACGCAGTATTTCCCCGTTCATACTCTTGTTCCAACAACTCTCAGCTTGGAAAATTCCCAATTTGTCTACTTAGTAATCATCAATTAATTGATGATTACTGGTATTTGTCTACTTAGTAATCATCAATTAATCTCTCTTCCAAATGCTTGTTAGTCCCCTTTTGGCAAAATATATTTTGTCATCCAAGATGCCCTAAAACAAACAATTTCACAGGCCTAACACAACCATAACTTCCTTCTTGCTTTTTATGTTTTGGGATTTTTTTTTGTTTGGGGGGTTTTGTTAGTTTGTTTTTTTGTCAGCCCCTCCTACCTTAATCTGATGCTCCTGATTTTATGTTGGATAAGATAAATGCCAATTCACTCTCCTACTCATGATTTTGAAGACTTCTGTCTTGATTAAGCTGCCTTAATTTCCATGTTGATGATTACTAGTCATCATGGTCTACATGAGTGTCATTCCATTCTTTGGAATTCCTAGTGTCTGAAAGTTTTCTAGTTCCAGTATATATTTTGTTAGATTAGAGGACCATAACCGTCCATGACATGTCTGATGCTGACAAACCATAGATGGTTTAATGTAGTTTTCTTTCATTATCTTTTCCAATACATGTAATACCAAATGTTTGATTTTCTTTTTGACACTTAGCATGCATCTCTATATTATGATTCCAATGCCTTGTTCCTAAATGGTAGTGCTCATCTCAGAGTCCATCATACAGTATATGAATGTGAGACAATCTTCCCCTTATGTGAGACAATCTTCCCCTTATGTGAGACACTTAGCACATAAATAAAATCTCACACACAATTTATATATATAAACAATTTATTCCAGAAATAGTAACACATCAGTGTCACATGGCGGAGAGAGATCGGATTCCTAATATCTATTTCACTAAATAATTAAATTCTTATATTATTTATTGATTGGAAAGAAGAAGCATATCTCTTCCTAACTTAATGCTCTCAGCAGACTGTAGGCTTTCTCTCTTGTCTCAAACATGCCTTCTCTCTTGCAGACCTCCATGAACTTTTAATTGTTCAACACAGAATTGGGCAGCTTAGGCATCAGAGACTGACAATGTATTATTTTACAGTGTTTTACTGGCTGATGAACAAAACCATAAGGAAGGGAGTGAAAGAGGAATGAGAAGAAGGAAGGCAGGAAGGCAGGAAGGCAGGAAGGCAGGAAGGCAGGAAGGCAGGCAGGCAGGAAGGCAGGCAGGAAGGCAGGCAGGAAGGCAGGCAGGAAGGAAGGAAGGCAGGAAGGCAGGCAGGAAGGCAGGCAGGCAGGCAGGCAGGCAGGCAGGCAGGCAGGCAGGCAGGCAGGAAGGCAGGAAGGCAGGAAGGCAGGAAGGCAGGCAGGAAGGAAGGCAGGAAGGAAGGCAGGCAGGAAGGCAGGAAGGCAGGAAGGCAGGAAGGCAGGAAGGAAGGCAGGAAGGCAGGAAGGAAGGCAGGAAGGCAGGCAGGAAGGCAGGCAGGAAGGCAGGAAGGCAGGAAGGCAGGAAGGCAGGAAGGCAGGAAGGAAGGCAGGAAGGAAGGCAGGAAGGAAGGCAGGAAGGAAGGCAGGAAGGCAGGCAGGAAGGCAGGAAGG